GAAAAAGTCGATTGGGCCTGATACTTGTCGACTTCTTGTTATATCCATTGAAAACTATCTTTAACCTATCCTTGAGAAGCAAAACATTTCCTGACATCTGGAAAGAAGTAAAGGTTATTCCAGTCTTCAAAAAAGGTGACAAAATCAAAATTATCAATTACAGACCGGTTGTAGTGTTATCAGCACCAGCCAAACTTTTTGAAACTGTCATTGTCTCTATAGATTAGTTTTTCCTATGATATCACAGTTCCAAGATGGCTTCATGAAAAAAAAGGCCCACTTTTAGTAATTTTAGAAATGTTAACCAATTTAAAGCTGAAAACTTGGATAGTCGTGCTCAAGTGGACTTTATATACACCAAATCTGCTGAAACTTTTGATGAAGTCTCACATCCAATTTTTCTAAGAACTAGAATATAATTTTGGTTTTCATCCCAACCTGATGAAATTTTTCAGTTCATATCTATCTAATCGAAACAAAGTATGATAGTGAAAGGGCCATTTATTGCATCGCCTGGAGTTCCCCAGGGTTCCAACTTGGGTCCTTTGTTATTGATTTTATTCATCAACAGTCTTGTAAAAAATATCACATCATCTTGCTACTTGTTGTTTGCAAATGACTTACAAATTTTTAAAAGAATATCAACAGTTGAAGATTGTGTACATCTACAGAACATATATAAATAGCATCGTTTAATGGTCAAAAAAGAACAAATTTTTATTCAACGTTCAAAAGTGTAATACTATGACCTTCTCCCAAAAAAAATTCAGTATAATATACTTACAGCTACGAGATGGACGGTATAAATTCAACAGAACTCGAGAAATAACAGACCTTGGTGTTACTTTCGATTATAAATTATCATTTAGATCTCATATACTGAATGTAACAAACAAGGCCTCGAAGATGTATGGGTTTGTAGTTCGCAACTCTAGGCAATTCAACAATATTACCTGCATCAAACATTTGTATATCACTCTTATTAGAATCATTTTGGAATATGCTTCCATTATCTGGTATCCTCAGTATAACTGTCACAAGTATAGCATTGAAAGAGTTCAAAACAAATTTCTGAGATATCTTCACTTCAAAGAAATAGGTAACTACTACATTGATATTTCCAAAGTAGTGCTACTTGGAATGTACTACATACAAACCTTCGAGAAAAGAAGAGTATTTGCATACTCAATATACTTGTACAATATGGTACATAGTGAAGTGGATGATCCCTGTCTTCTATTTCAATTCTATTCAATTTCAATGTACCTGCTTATGAAACTAGATAGTTTCGCACATTTTATATTGAATCTGCAAGAACAAATTTTTATCAAAATGCCCCATTAAATGTATGTGCAATGCCTATAATAATGTACAAAATGTCTGTGATGTCTTCCTCCAAAATCTTACTAGTTTCAGAAATAGGTTGTATCAAATTGTATAACTCTTGTTGATTATTTTTTTTTTATTTTGTTTCTCATTTTGTTGTATGTACAAATCTATTTGTGATATATACCTTTCCTACTCTGAAACTGAGCCATGGTCTGTAAATAAAATAAATAAAAAATAAATAGGTAGTATGATTATAGTTTTTATTCATTGGTTGAAACTGTTTGACCTTCGAGAAAAAAAAGTCCCTTAACCCATATGTTCACCTATCGTTTTTCTAGGTGATGATCGAGAAATCTGAAGTGAAAAAGTATCATCTGAGTCTGAAGGTTTTTTAAGAATGATTACATCTGTTACAAGTTATATTTTTGTGATATTGAATGAAGTCGTTAATGAATAATTGAATAACCTACAGTAATAAAATTATTTCATTTGATTTTTTATGAATCGGTTTGAAAATACTATGAGTACAAACCCACTTTCATGGATGAAACCTGTTCTTTGAAATGGTATTCTGAAAAATGACGATATAATCGTCTCTACTTCTATAAATAAATCAGTATCTCACTAAATAATATAACACGTAATGTGTGTTATAGGAATCTAATGGGGGATTGTAAATTCTTTGGGTGTGATAAGTCAAGTTCAAACGGCCTAGGCTTATTATTAACTGAATAATCTATTGCTGTCCAATTTTACTCCTACGCTAGTTCCACTCGAATATACCAAAGCCATACTAGAGAAGTTAATTGTACAGCTCTTTAAAATTAGGAATGAGCAAAGTGCAATTTGAAAATAACAAAAAATTTTAACATATTGTGAAATGGAAATACTCTCAACGTTATTCCAAAAAAATTAGATTTAATAAGCATTGCTGCCCACGTTAAGAAGTTTTACATCTTTCCGACTTTTTGATGGAAACTCTTTGTTTGAAATTCTGTATTGTCATGCCAACTTTCATCATCCAAACGGTGAAAAGATAGTAGGAGAAGAAGAAAGTTATTCTCTCAGGCCATGTGAATATATAAAACAGTCCATAGGGCCACCTTCCTATCCAAAAGTAAGTTAGAATTAACCTATAAAACAAATTTATATAACGAAACCTATCAAACAGTAATCACAATACTTACAGAGTATGATAGGAGATCACAATCACATTCAGTCCGAAAAAAGCAGAAATGAAAGTAGGAAGGAGTTGATTGGCAATCAACATTTCTATTGCGGCAAATATCAGAATATTTGTATGTAAACAATGGTTGAGCCAGGTTGGAATATATTTATCCAAAACTTCTGGAAGAACAAACTCTCTGTTGATGTTGTATAAGCTCCAAAACATTGTCGAAACGAATACCGAGAATGGAAATAAGGAACTGGTGAAAATATATCCTTTATACCTTAACATTTTTTCTTGGATATCTCGCCTTATCGATAACATATGAAGAATATCGTACATCAAAGCAGAAGTGAAGTAAACCAGTTGAATGAGCTGAAACAAAAAATGACGTTTTTATGAGGTTTTTTTTCATGAGATTTTATGATATTTATTCAGTTCATATATGGATGAATGTACACACATATGAACAATGTACATACAATTATTATACTTTTCCAGATAATTAATATACATATACATATATATGCCAACAGCTAACAAGAAATAATATTTTCCGAACAAGGGTGACAATTTCAACGAATGACCTAACTTAACTCTTTGGAGAATAATTACCCGTCAGTAGTGATAGAAATTCCACACACATTGTAAAAATTTCACTTAACAATTAACGAAACCACAAAACGTGTTTCACTACCTATACAACCTTCAGACGAATTGAATACATACTTTAAACATGTATTGATGACGCATGTAGAAGCTACTTCACAGTGAATCACGAGTTGCGGTGTTGTGAACTGTTAAGTCAAAATATTACAATGAAGTGTTGTCCTTCGGGGGCGTTCCCACGTACCATTCTACGTTGTAGCGGCTGGCTGGCCTCCCAGTCTGGGTTTATAGTCTATGGTCCATACGACGCTGTTGGTGACTGGCTCCGCCATGAAGCCACCCCCAAGTCTCTGTTCACTTCAAGGCAACTCCCTGGCCTACCTCCACCCCCTAGTTCTTCCACTAGGACGCCAGTTCTGTAATTTCCGTAGACACACTGCGCGTCTGGGCGCGGTGTGTCTACTTCCCGGAAACTGCTAAGGCTTTCACCTTGGGAGCATCGCGATGTCTGGCATCAAGAGTCCTGGCGTTCGTCTTCCATTCTCATGACTTCATCTATACTGCATTCTCGTCTCTGTCGGGGTTAACAATTGCGATGACTCTCTCGGAATTTCCAATTCCACAGGATGGATGTACACCCTGTATACGTCTGGTTTTGGGATTAACACATTAGTGAGTAACACCTCCTGCGTGTGCCTCAATGACTCGCGTTCAGACATAATTGTCGCGTTTGGAGGCAAACATCCACCCGGTTGTCGCCGCCAGCAAAAATTCTCAATTTGGTCATTTTGTTCCGCACACATTTCAACACGCTGCTGTCTCGTTGTCGGAGCCGATCTCAGCATAGGAAATCGCACTCGAAGATTCAACATTGCGCGAAGCCCTAACTGGGGTGCGCTCTGTGTTCTAGAGTTCATTGCTTTTCGGAGATGGTGTCCAGCTTTCTTATGACGTAGTAACATCTCCTGGCGTTCCCTCGCTGAAGTTTTCAAATCCATTCTTCTGGTGTTTGGAGTGTTTGGAGTGTTTGAAGTCCTAAAGCGATTTAAAACAATTTGAGCAGTTCGCGGGCTACCCTCAGCGGAACGTTTACACGATTTGAGGACAGCGTTATTCTTTGTGACATATTGGATTCTCTAACTATTCGTCTTGTAGAAAAACCAACAATGTCCGGAGTATGTCGCTCTGCGACCAAAGGAGAGGCCTCAGACTAGCTGATTCTACCTGAGTTTTCGTTATGCTGTTCTGCCCACTTCAAGTTCGTGCGTCGTTGAACTCAGGTCGGCGTCGTGGTAGACGTTGTCTTTAGCCTCGACACCAACGTAAGATGTTGGATATAATTACGAATTGTTGATATTTATGGCGGTTGTTTTGTCGGGTGTCATCGACGATTCAGAGTGTTGAATAGAATCAGAGAAGGATGCACTGAGTATCGGAGAGATTCAAAGAGCGTGGTTGAATTATAAAAACGAAACATGTAGATGAAAATATTGGATGCGCGAAAGTGATATAGTAATAATAATGTACGATGAATCAGATTGAAGAAAAAATACATTGCGGTGGGCATTCAGTGTAGTATACATGGTGTCCAAAAATACATTATTTAAAAAATCATGGCGTCAATGTGTATGTACAAGGTGTGGAAAAAATACATCATTTACAAAAATATTTTCGTTTAATATTTCACCGTGCGGTTCCTCAATGTGTACAGGCTGTCTCAAAATACATCATTTCATGAAAAACATGGTATCAATGTATATACAGGGTGTTTCAAAATACATCATTCAAAAACAGATATGTCGGTTGACCAGGAAAATGGCATGCAAAAGTGTCGGTGAGTTACGTGTTGTGGAGTTAACGTTCGAAAGTAGGCGCAATGGGGAAGCGAAGTATTCGACAGTGGCATTTCAACATACGTTGTTTTGCATACGTTTCAACCGCTTTACATGCGTTTCGACCGTTTTGCATGTGTTTCGAACGTTTTGCGTGCGTTTCGACCATTTTGCGTGCGTTTATTCGTTATTGTTTCACCGTCTTTGCCGTTTTTTCGTCGTTGTTTTCTGTTTTTATCAAGGGTATATTATTGTTGAGGTTGGGTAAAGGAAAGAAATAATTTCAAAAATGAATTTATTATATATTTTTATTTTGGTAACATATCACAAAGCCATTCGTATAAAATATCTACGTTTTGGAGACTGCAATTGTAGTTGGTTCGGTTGCGAATGTGATGCATGTAGGGTGAGACACCTTCATTGTTGGCGAATGTGGGAACTATCCATTTTGTATTGTCATAGCTTTCCAAATTCACAACGTATGTAGGTATATTCAACTCGTGAAATTTTGCAGTTAGATAGTTATTTTTTTGATGTCCTCGCACATAAATGACATCTACACCTGGTGGATTTTCCACGAGGATGGCATCCAATTGATTATATTCCACAAAGTCAGAGGAATACCTCAATTCGTGAATGTTTCACTCCAAGTAACAAGCGGTACGGCGATTTTCTTAACTCAAACAGGAAAATGGTGTGTTTGGCAGCAGTAAAATTCACTACATTGAATTCCAATCCTAATTAATATCCGTTTCTTTAGGATAGAATTTTTGCTCGACGGTGAAGCCTTGAATATCTACAACAGCTATTCTCATGTTGACTCTTCGATTGATACTGAAGCAAAATCACATGTTCAGTTTCATTTTTTAATAATTTCGCTGACTGGGAGGTGTTCTATGACAGTGTCGTGCACAATGATACAATAGGCTCTGATATTTTGAGGAAATCCCTCGGATGCTTCGATTTCAAGTTATACATCAACACTGGAACTTTTGATGCTTTCGTCCCTTCTGGAACAAACGATGACATAGAGAACTTTGTCCGTGGAGAAAGTGAAAGTGAGAAGAGGATTATGTTGATTAGCAATTTTGTAGCTAAGACCAAATTGCAAGTAGTTAAAATGAGCTTGCGAAAAATTCCCCTTTGCAAAATTGCGAGTAGTTGAAATAAGCTTGCGAAAAGTTTCCCTTTGCAAACTTCAAATGCATATTTTCTTTGGAGTATTATTCACTGAATATTACTGGAGTTTTTTCCCAACACCAAATCGTTATTTTTACACCTCGACACGTGTTTCGATCACCAAGTGATCATCTTCATGAGGAAGATAAAACTTTATCTTCCTCTTAAAGATGATCACTTGGTGATCTAAACACGTGTCGAGGTGTAAAAATAACGATTTGGTGATCATCTTCAAGAGGAAGATAAAACTATACTTCCTCTTGAAGATGATCACTTGGCGATCGAAACACGTGTCGAGGTGTAAAAATAACGATTTGGTGTTGGGAAAAAACTCCAGTAATATTTATTACTACATCAAAGGTTCCAAACAGTACATCATAAGTATTATTCACTGTTTAGAGTGAGCGTTATATTGGTGATATTCAAATGATTGAATTATTGTTGGATCATTGGTGACTTTAGCGTTATCACGATTTTTTTGGAAACATACAATCACATAGCGAGGGCTTTCAAGGAACGAAGAAGTCTTGACGGCCATATTTCATTTCTTGCATCTTGTGCGAGAGCAGGCAGCATATGGACTTCCAATTTTCTGAACTATAAATGGGAGTGTCAGCTTGGATAGCTTTCAATAGTTGCAATTTAATTTGATCATGCGGAATGATTCGTTTAACTTTGAGTTCGATATTTTCAATTTTCAACTCAATTTTCGTGTTCGGTGTTGGTGCAGCAGGAGAATCTTCTATTTTGAAACAGCTCGTACTAATTGAATGGTATGTTGACCGTAGGAAACACACTGATAATCGTTGAAATTATTCAAAAACTGCTTGATGGGTATGAGCATGTTGATGCGTTGTATTGATGACACCCGTATTGTTGGGAAAAGTCCAACCGGAGGTGGCCAAGTGTTTGATATCTTCGTCGGTGTAGGTGAGAAAGCCTCTAACAGTACCAACAATTCCAAGTTCACGAACTGCTTCCAATTCCTTACCACTCTGCTCATAACTCGCAAATTGAAACATGAAAGCACCAGCATTGTTTACGAATGACACCTTATCGTCCCCTTTTGGTCTTCTCAGATTTTTCGCTAATGAATAGTAGATTATCGTACAAAGCATCTTAGGCATCAGATAGATTGACATCGATTTCAATAACATCGTTGTTGCGAAAAGACTTGACATAAGGATAGTAGGTACGCCACTCTACCTTTTGTATGGACTCATTGTTTTGCGGTTTTCGAAAAATGTTGAACACTTGATTGGACAACATGATAGCCAAGAGATTCTGGAAACAATTTATTTTCTGTTGTCAATAGTTGTCGACTAGCGGAGGTCTTGGGAAAGACTGACGTGGGATATGGAGGCGAATTATTTTTATAGATAGTCAGCACCATACTTTCGCTTCAATTCCAAACGAATTATTATTTCTTCGTTTCGAAAATCAATAAGCCTAGAATGTTGATCGAGCACACACAGGTGTTTCGTCAATTGCTCACCCAAGATCGACAACAACAGCAAATTCGTATATCGTATGAGACGGTGTGTCGTTGTAGAAGGCTCCAAACGTAATGTGTTATCTATGTATATGGTGCGTACTTTAATGATATCCATATGTAGATCGGATTCGGTATGTACGTTTGGTTTGAGGAGAGTAGATGACAACCCCAAAATGTGAGCCAAGCTATTTGCAGGTCGGAAATCAAACGAGTGTTCCAGACAGAATATTTCACTTTTCAGCGGTTTGAGATAGAAAAAA